GAAGAAAAAGCGAACTATGAATACCTTACGTCCATCCACCCCATTCTGCCTTCTTCTTCTGGTGCCCAAGGGAACTGGGGCTGTGGTCAGTCCATAATGCTTTGCCACTACTCCTATTCCACATGAGATGCTGTCCTTCCCAAACTGATCCTGCTTGGTCTTCCCACAGGCTTCAGCTCTCTAAGTACCGCTCTAACATGGCTCTGTACCGTAGGGCCCACCCCTCAGGCACTGCTCCACACAGGTCCCCACAGGCACAGCTCCCCCAGCCTTCCTGCCCCACAGCAGGCTGCTTTCCACGGGCTGCAGCTCTGGCCTGGGGCTGCTCCTGAAGGGGTATACATGGGCTGTGCCTCTTTCAGGCTTCATCCTCTGCTGCTCTGTAGGCTCCTCCATGGCTGCAGGTGGAGATCTGCTTCATGTACTGCCCATGGACTGCAGGGGGACAGCCTGCTCCTCCATGAGCATCTCCTGACCTGTGGGGAACCTCTCCTCTGTGCTTAGAGCACCTTCTGCCCTCCTTCTGAGCTAACCTGAGTGATTGCAGGGCTGTTCTTTCTCATTTCTCATGCCTCCATCCCAGCTGCTGCTGTGCAGTAGTTTTTGAAAATGCATCTCAAGCTAATTGGTAAAGACTTTTGAACTGAAACAGTAGCAGGTATATACATATAAACTGCAAGCCTGTCAACATATGAGACTGTGTTCCTGTGTTAACCAGACTGTGCAGCTAGGCAAGAGTACTGTGTGTTTCACCATGCATCCTTGTCCATCCTCTACCCTAGAAAGCTGCTACCCAAACCTCACCCGGTGGTAGTTTACTACTTGCTTGCATTTGTTGTGTACTTGAATCCATTCTTTTTCCCTAAATGACATCTGTTGGAACACTGGGTCTCTGGGGAGGATGAGCACTGGCCAGGGGCTATGGGTAGCATCATCATGAGTGGTTGCAGTGGTGGTGGGAGATGATGTGCTCAAACCCTCAGTAGCCTGTGTGCAGTGTTACTGCGTGGAGAAGTGTCAAAAAAAGACAATTTGATCTCTTGTATTTCTGTTCCTTCCTCTGCAGTTTCTGAGGCTGTGCAAGTTTTCTGTCATCGCAGCTTCTGATGTGGTATGAAATTAAGCTGGCACTTCTAATGAAAAGACATTTGTAGCAGAAATAATCCTTTCCATGAGGTTCGAGGAATGGTTGCTTTATTATTTTAAAACTTTTTTCTTTTTTTTTGCCAAGACTGCGGGAAGGCATGGGAGACGAACAAAAAAAGACAGAATTCTTTGCAGATATACAGAAGCTGAAGTGTTAAGGGATTCTTTCATTATATACGTGTACACGTCTGGTTGAGAAAGCAGCCAAAGAGACTGACAGTCTCTGGGACGTTCAGTAGTTGAAGATCAGAAAAAAACAGTAGTGTGCCAGACAACCTCATGTAGAATGTCTTTCCTGCTGAAGACAAGGTAAATAGTATTAGCTGATCTGTTCAGTCTTGCTATAGAGTGTGTGAACAGGGTTTGAAAATCAAAGGGCACAGCAGCTCAAACTTACCATGTTTCTCATTTCAGCTTTTTAATAAAATGGACAGTAATGCTGTGATTCTGCTGCAGAATGGAGCTTGGTTGGTCTCATAAAGGACTCAGTTGTGGTTTGCTGAGGTTGTCAGCAGCAGCCAGGTACCCTTGTGGCACTGTGGCTGTTGAAAGGTGTTCTGGAGGAGAAAAACAGAAACAGCCCTTGGCTTTAAAAGGAGTCCCCTGGCTTTAACTGGCTGCAGTCCGGTCGGGATTGGAGAAAGCAGGACAATGCGTAGGATGATACGACACGCTCCTGCTGTGGGGTTCTACTCCTCCCTCAGAGGCTGCAGTAGTGGCCATGCATTTGAAAATGCTTTCAAGAAACTGTTCTTCAAGTAAAGCCCGAGTGGTTCCTGTGCTCATGCTGAGCTTGAGCAGAGGTGCACTAAACATTATTTCCTCTGTCTTTCTGTTGATTTACTAAAATTTGGAATAATCAGAAATATGAATGTAGTGAAAATACTAATAACTATATTATCTTATTAGTATCCTCATAATCACAGGACATTGGCCAGATTTATATAATATATATTAAAAATGAAGAAGCCACAAGTTTTACAGATGAGTAGCGTAGAAGTTGCATCTTTGTGAATTTTTCCATCCTCTCATTTCTCTGAATGCTTTTTTTCTTCCTCTCTCCACATTTGACTCATCTTCATACCAGTGTCTTGTTAACGTTTGTCTGATGTTTTCTGTTCATCATTCTCTCACCTCTTTGTGTTCCTTTCCATTCTAGTCTCTTGCTAATGAGGATACATACGAAAGATGCTCTTGTAATTTTAAAACATGTAAAATCAGTAGATATGTTTTGTTTCATTGACTTCACTTCCTGAGAGTGGCCTACTCAGCTTGCAGATTCAGTGGTTTCTGTGAAGAACAGAACAAAAAAAGCAACACAACAAAACAACCAACCACCACCAAAAGAAAGATGTTCTTTCCTATGACCTTCTGAAGGTTCTTGAGGTACTTTGAATTTTCATACTGGAAGAGCTGTACAAGTTCACTCTGTTTCTTCTGAATTTCCTCTCTCCATCTCTTGTTGTTGTCTTCCTACTTTCGCCCATATTTTTTTCCCCACTTGGTGTACTCTGTTTCCTTGCTGCTCTTGCTTATGTTCTATCTTTCTCATGCTGTTCTTCCTTCTTTTGTCTGTACTTCTCCTTCCCCAGGAGAAGGTTACACTTTGGCCACTCCTTTTCTTGAAGGTGACTGCTGCCATTTGCCACGTCCCTCTCTTTGTTTGCCTTTGTGGAGAGGACTGTGCTTTTCTGCAGTTTTATGTTTCATTGCATGGCTCATAGTCTTCTCCCGTTCATCATATTCATAGAATCATTTAACGGCCTGAGTTGAAAATTGTCTCAGTAATCATCAAGTTTCAACCCCCTGCTATGTGCAGGTCACCAACCACCAGACCAGGCTGCCCAGAGCCACATCCAGCCTGGCCTTGAATGCCTCCAGGGATGGGGCATCCACGGCCTCCTTGGGCAATCTGTTCCACTGCATCATCATCCTCTTAAGTGAAAAAATTCCTCCTAATATCTAACCTAAACCTCTCCTGTCTCAGTTTAAAGCCATTCCCACTTGTCCTGTCTTCCTTTTGAGCAAGAAGAATTGTCTAATTTGTCTAAATACTGTTGGAAATAATAGCATTTCTAGATGCTCCTGAAATTTTGTCCAAATTGTCCTTTTGCTGACTCTGGTCTGATCTTCAGAAAGTGGGTGAAATCTTCCATCGCACCATAAAGAGCTTTATTCTCTAGGCATGGAGTCCCAGCTCAGGTTTCTGGGTGCTCGGGCTTGTGGACCATTTGCCTCTGAGCTCAGGGTGGTGATGTGCAGAGCCCAGTGCCACATGCTGGATCTGATTGTTCTCGTCTGTTCTGAGGTGTCAGATAACTTGGAGTCCCCAGGCTGAGTAGCTTCCCTTCTAAGCATTGGAGTTTATTGCATGTTTTTATTTGTGGTCATGGCATTTGGAGGTAATTTGAGATTATGAATAACTAGTAGTGAAAAATCATTGTGACCATGTCAAAATCAAGCAGTTTGAGCTAGTTTGAAGGGTACTTAATTGCAAAAAAAAAAAAAAAAAAGAAAAAGAAAAAGAAAAGGAAGCCATAGCTGAGATAAGCACTCTCAGTGAAAGGACCTTAAAAAGGTTGCAGCCAGGAGTCGTAAAGATAGGATGTGTATGGAAGTGAGTGGAGACAGTGTTTTACCTTGAACTGTCCATTTCTTTTTATAATCTTACAGCAAAGGTTTAATGTTAGGTAGATGAAAACCCGTATTTCTTTCAAGATCCTCCGTTAAATATGTTCTAGAAGTCTGCGTTTCTGGAAGCTGATAACGCTCAGCTTCAAAAATTTATTCTGAGCAGAAATTTAGCATAGGATATTGCAACAAAAGTAAAATTAAAGTGATTCAGGTTTAAATTATCTTCTACCTGTATGAAGGATTTAATAGTACTGCAAAAATTGCATTGCATTGTTCTGCAGAACAGCCTTTATAATAGCAATGGCACGTTTTCCAGAAGAGTAGTGGTCTGCATTTGACTAGTTGTGGTGAGGCCCTGTGGTGGTGTTTGCTTTGAATTACTTGAGAGGGGCCAATTCCCTTAAATAATATGTTTAGAGACCATGCCAAAGAAAACCTAAGTGATTCTAGGAATGTGTATTGCATTTGTTTAGTAACTTTGTGGTTCATCTCTGTCTCAGTCCCTTTGCTAGACATGCAAGCAAATCTTAGAGGTTTCAGTGCAGCTTTGTGTTCTTTTATGTCTGTAATTGGGCACGTAATGTGAGTATGCCTTTTGTGCTGCATACTGTGAGGCAGCACGAAGGTAAAAATTGGAACTGCAGCCAAACACATTCAGTTGTACAGAAGCAAAGTACTGAAAACCACCACAGCATATCCTGCCTCCTGTCTCTGACTGCCTGTTCTTTGTTGACTCACCCATTGGCATTGTATTAGATAGTTAAATGTCACTCATGGGCCAATGTAGTTCTCTTTTGAACCACGTCTGTATGTATATCAACACTCTGTATTGAGCACTGAGAAATGAAAATGCTCCTGTGGGTTCTTCATCGCCTTTTTATGGAGAGTTCTCTTGCCATTCACTTTGTTAAGGATTGATCCCACTGATGTTAAATGATGGCATGTATAGCTCTGTCAACAGCGGGCAACTCCTGAGATGGTTTTGGAATTACAGGAAAAATAAAACAATTATAAGACCACAGAATTCAGTGCTACCAACTCATGTTGGTAGATTCTTGTCATCTCTCTACTGAACAAAAATGTAACAGTTGTCTTAAATTCTATTTAAAATGTATGGAGGCATTAAAATAAATATGAATTAAGGAATGCAAGAAATAACTGTGGCTTGAGTGTAATTATTAGTTTTAGTTTTGTAAGTATGGTTTTCTTACCTATATTAGATGATCTAGAAGCTGTTCCTGTCACCATCCAGATCTGTTTTGGTCAACTTGCATAGCAGCGGTGACATGAAAAAGAGAGCTGGCAGTTGGAGATGGTGAGTAAACCTTTGCAGAGCTCTGAAACAGCTCACAGTTCTGATGTCAGTGGGAGTCCTGAGTGTCTGACATCTCTTGCAGTCAAATCAGATATTTATGTGTGGAAAAAGTAAACACTAAGTCTGTAGCATACTGATAGGTTATTCTTGGGGGATTAGATACAAATGCATGATATTAAAAATTTGAGCTAACTGAAACAATGTTTTTCTCCTCCCTCTGGGTGTATTTATGTAGTGTAAGCCTAATCGGAAGTGTCATAAATCAGTTTTTCTCATTCTTGCAGTGAAAGCCAATATGTAAAACTGTGGTAGCCATACTTGTCTCAATACTTTCATGAGTTGCCATATAATAATTAATTTAAATCCCTTCCTTTTACCACTTCAAAATCCACGAGGGTGAAACTAGCTTTATATTTTACACAAAAGTATTTAGGCAGTGAATCTTCAATGTTAAGCCTTCAGTAGATGAGGGATGCTCCAACAGTAATGAGTGCAGCATGCAGGCTGTTGTTCATCACTGGTGAAAATGCATAGCTAATGGTGGCAACTGTGTTGAAAAGTAGTATCCTATAGCTAAGAATTTGCTCTGTCAACTAGTGTTGTGCTCTTTGTATAAGCTGTAGTTTCCATGGAAATGCATAGGAGACGTTACTTCCAGTGTGACTTATGTATTTGTTATCTCCCTCCCTCTTCCTTGAAGGATATGGGCTAAATAGAATCATAGAATCATAGAATTGTTCAGGTTGGAAAAGACCATAAAAGATCAAGTCCAACCACAACCTAACCATAGTACCCTAACTCTAACAACCCTGCACTAAATCACGGCCCTGAGCACCACATCCAAATGGTTTTTAAACACATCCAGGGATGGTGACTCAACCACCTCCCTGGGGAGCCAATTCCAGTGCTTAACAACTCTTTCTGTAAAGAAGTTTTTCCCTATATCCAACCTAAACCTAAATGTTAAAGTGTCTAAATTTTGTGACTGTATGTTGCAGAAATGGAGCTGTGTATTCTCTGTAGCAAGGGAGTTGATAATAATATGGTGGCTCTCTTAGAAATTAGTTACCATGGCAAGGTTGGTTATGGGTTTGATGTGAACTGTTGTTCTGTTCTTATTTTTCTGTGACACTGACAGTTGCTCAGCTGCTGCTCTCTTTTACAAAGATGTTAAGTGCTGAGTATCGGTATGACCCAACACACTGGGGGGGGGGTATGGTTGCTTGCCCTTGGGCTTTGCTGTGATCTCTTGATGTGTGGATCATGGAGAGACATGCTGGTGAACATCTTTGCTGTCAGTGGCGGAACTCCCTTGCGCTGTTCCAGATATTTCCCAAGGACAGACATGTCCCATGACACTAAGCCAAGTGTGACCATCATGATGCTGAAATAGACAGGATTTTCCAGTCTGCTTTTTGTTCCTACTTTTGTGCAAAATTTGGTACACCATTATGAAAAATGAGTGTGGACGTTGCTGAAGAATGTTGTAATGCATTGTGAAGTATTCTGGAACTGAGGCACGACCTGGGCACTGTGTTATTGTTCTGAATCTGAGGAACTGTATAATCTAAGGTTGCGTAAATTTTGAAGACGAGGGGGAACTGAATGTGTCCTCAGAGACCTCAGTCTAACTTTAGCATTGCAGTATAATAATAACCCTGTATTCTGTATGCAATTCTGCTGATGCGATCTGTGGAGTCCTGGCTGGTTAGTATCATGTATGTTTCTCAGTGCTTTGTTCACAGACGATAAGAAACTGCAGAAATCTGCTCATCCTTCTGTTTCATCATGTGACTCATATTCTTGGTTTGTACATAAAGAGCTGAAAGTTGAAATTTCTGTTTGGAAGATATTTTATATCTCAGATGGATTCCAATATGCTTACATAAACATTTCGCATGTGCCTGGAAGACAAGGAAAGTTACCAGTGCAATTATTGTTATTTTGCTTTTTTACTTTTTTGAAGTTTGCATGGTCTTCTTCTGAGCAGTGAACTTGAGCTACTGAATTCCCCTAAATATAGTCTAAAAGTATGCATTAATGATGGTGTGATTTTGCAGTCATGTACTTCTGGATGTTCGTTTCACTCGCTTTTCACTACTTTTGTAGTGTCTTTATTGCCATATCTATAGCTATTCCTCATAGAAAAATGGAATTTTAAGATAGGTTGCTCTGCTGTTGTTTAGTCAAGTTCTGATTATCTTCAAGGATGGATGTTTTGTGACTTTTCTAAGTACTCTCTATCCACCCTTATCATGAACTCTTCCTCATAGCTAATCAGAGTTGATTTTGCTTGCTGGAACTTGTATCCTTAGGTTCCTGCTACATGCCTCTGTGCAGAGTCTGGCTCTGATGTTTTTGTACCCCATTAGGTAGCTGCAGGCAGCAGTAGGATCTCCTTCACACTTTCCCTTCTCCAGGTGGAACAGTCCCAGCTCTCACAGCCTGTCCATGTGCACCATATGCTGCAGTCCCCAAACAGACTGATAGCCTACACAGGTTTCATGGAGCTGGTGCCTAGAAGTCAGCAACTAGTAGGTCTTGGAGTAGCTGAGGACTTGGAGTAGCTGAGGTGTTCTGAGCCCATTGATCCAGCTGGTTTCCCACCTGTGTTGCACTCCAGTAGTGGGAGGTGAAGGATGGTTTATCTGACCTGCTCAATGAATCATATGTATTTCACAGTAGAAATATTTCTCATAAATCTTGTGGATTTTTTTAGAACGTAAGTCAGAAGAATGATTTCATCCCTGCATCCTCTGGTTCTCTTGGTCTTAAGGGTTTTATTTCAATCACTGTGCCTCTGTCAACCATCTGCAGTGTTTCTGTTCAATTCACATTTTTATGTATCCCCACAGACCTTCCTGCCCTGTATTTTCAGGAGAAAACCTGCATGCCTGGTAGTTACAGGAGGCAGTCTTTGCTTTTGAAGGTCATGGTATTTTGCTTCCTTTAACTAATGCTTTCTCCTGTCCTTTTCTTGTTCCACCATGTGCTAATATTTCTCCTTGTTTCCCATTCTGTCTTCTTTTCGATGTTAATCCTTGTTCTTTGAGACTTGGCTTTCTGTTTTTCTATTTTCCTTCTTCTAAAATATAAAACACGATGAAATTTTCTGTCTTTGTCAGGCTGCTTCCTTGTGTGTCTCCCCAGTGGTCTGTGTGTGATTTTGGTGACAGGGCTTCCTGTCTGTGTGAGAAAGAAAACCTGCTTCTTGAGCTAGTTCTCACGGGAGGGAATCACTACAAACGGCAAAGCTGGGGCACTGGACTGTGATATCTTTTCAAGCAAAAATTAATGAATAGACCCATTTCGAAGTAAGTAGGAATGGACAGTCACAAAACAGCAGTCAGATGCTAGATTTACCTGCTAATTCTGTGAAAAGAGTCTTATGTACAAGTATTAGACTGATGTGAAAACACGAGCTCAGCAAAACACATTTAAAGCATGGTTTACCATTTGCTGTATCTTGCAGTCATTTAGTCTTTTCAGAGCAAGGCTGGATATAACCCCAGCTTTATACTCTAGGGATCAATTGTGTCTTGCATAGTTGCAGTAACCAGTAAGTTAATACTCCCCTGTTTTCATTTCTGAGTAGCAGAGGAAATACAAATGCAATAGAGAGAGTTGCATTAAATATGTATTCATTGCCCTTCTCTAATTTTCAGTAGTATTTTGATTCTTCTTGCTCTCTTTGTGGTATTACCTTTTCATTACTGCTAGTCTTCCCTTGTTTTTCGTAAGTATGTATTGATGTTTCTTCCCACCTTTAAAAGCAGTGTGCCATGTGACTATAAAACATGAAGATAATTAAAAGATATGTAATTTCTAATGGCTTTATTAATCTTGTTTTCAGGCAGTACATCCCCATAGCACAGTCCAGAAATGAAGCATTCTGTCTGACAGTTGCCCATTAGAGTACATCTAGAGATCCAGGAACTGTAATGGCTAAAAACTATTTTATGGTCAAATTGTAACATGAAAAAAACAGTTTGCAAAGCTTTCTGTGTGGAATATAATAAAACCTAGTATTATTTGTGATGGCTTTCTGAGTGTGACTAAGCTGGTGTAACCAAATCCTAAGAGATCAGGGGCATTTAGAAGTATCTGTACATAGAAATAACACCTTTGATATGTGGTTATTTTGAGAGCATCTGCGTTTCCCCGTGTCCTTTTGCTGTACTACAAAGATTTTTATTTTAATAGTGAAAACAGTGTTATTTTGAGTATATGCACAATTGTTTGTTGCTACTATATAGCTGCTGGATGCTGCAGATTTGCACTATATCTTTACATGTCTTGAGTTGAGATGTATTGAAATTCTGGAGGGAAAAAAATATTAAAAACCTACCATCACCACCAAAAGAGCATGGACCAAGTGCTGACTTCTGTATTCAGTAGGGATCACCACCAATTAGATCATCAGCTCCAAGGACCTTTGCAATGACCTAGATGTGCCACTATCACAAGTTCAGCAGTATCCAGAAACTTAATCTGACTGGGATTAGCACCAGACTTGCCTCTCAGAAAATAGATTCAGCTGGGGAACGTGGACTTCTGCACAAAGGAGCTGTCTGTTGCTGGTTGTGTTATTCTGGGGGGACCATGTGTCAGAAAGCTCATGTTCAAAATCAGTTTTGAGAAACTGGTGAAGTGATTGCTATTGTGGATGTATGTATATATATTTGGCATTTAAAATACTATCATGTTGTTCATTGTGGTGCTGAGGAATGACAGTATATTTTTTGTATGTTCCCTCTTGTTCCTGACAGCTACAACTTTGTAGCAACAACACCTATTGGAAGGTTTGACCAGGTGACCTCCAGAGGTCCCTTTCAACCGCTATGCTTCTGTGATATTGCTTTTTGTCTTTATAACACGGCAGACATAATCTGTGAAATATATCTGCAGAACAATCGTAAAAGGCATACAAGTAATTGGAATTAATCACAGTCAGTGTGGAGTAAAGCCCTAATTTTCATTTAAAAGTGTTTACTCTGTAGATAGATATCAATAGGAATAATTGAAGTAAATATCACAACTCTCGACAAAACTCTCAGCACATGAACACTGACTGTTTTTGACAGAATCATAGAATGGCCTGGGTTGAAAAGAACCACAGTGATTACCTAGTTTCAACCCCCCTGCTAAGTGCAGGGTCACCAACCACCAGAGCAGGCTGCCCAGAGCCACATCCAGCCCGGCCTTGAATGCCTCCAGGGATGGGGCATCCACAGCCTCCTTGGGCAACCTGTTTCAGAGTGTCACCACCCTCTGTGTGAAAAACTTCCTCCTAAGTTCTATTCCTGGTTGTAAGTTAAAGCAGAAATTTTGTCTCCAGACTGAGTTGGGATGAATCTAGGTGCCGCAAGCTGTTCTTTTGCAGGTCCGGTGATTTGTTCTTAAAGCTTTTATATAATGGATATAATGAGGCTGTAATGATTTTGAAGTGATCACAGCAGTGGAAATTGACAGGGATAAACGAGGAAATTCCTTGAGGTTCCCAGTGGACAAGCTTTTAGAATTTCAGAGTTCTGTCTTGGTGGCTCTTCAGCTGAAGGAAAAGAGGTGCCAGGTGATAAGGATCCTGCTTTGGCATGTACCAGACTGGAGGGTGGGGGAAGGGCTGATGCTTTTTTTACATCACCCTCCTTTTGCTAAATTCTTCCAGTTTGTCAGTGCTCTATAGACTGCATGGTCTGACGCGTCTTGCCTCTGGGTAGTCTTACCTTAAGCTCCAGCTGGTATTGATCGTATGCTTGAATACTGCTTGGTATTACTTTAATTCGGTACTAACAGCATTCTGTCTTATGGAGGTGGTGTTTTGTCTTGGTCTAGTTATAGGGCTGGGTGGGGAGGAGATGGACAATGGTGACAAACCTGGCGCTGCTGTTGTCTTTGTGAGTGTGCTGATCTTTGGGAAACTGCTGAAGGGGTGCTTCTGTGAAGTCTGCCTGATGCATGCTAGGATAATGCTGTTTAGTTTATGGCCTTAATAGGGTTGTAACAAGATGTTTGTGAATGTCATTCCTGGATATTAGTGCAACTGTGCTTCTGTATTTATATAATACACTCCTTCTGAACTCATCCAGCGTAATGCTTTGTGGGCTTTTTTCAAACACTGATAAGAAAGAGAACACAAAAGAATACAACATTATTTCTTTGAGTATGTGTTGAAGAGAGGGTATTTTGTATTTGCTGACAGACTGCAGGTTAATATGTTTCCAGTTAAGCTTGTGTATTTTTAGTGGGTTTGTTAGGAAGCCAAACCTCGCTGCTATTTCATTTTGAAATGGTGCTGCCTGTTGTAATCCTGCTCAGTGTGTCAAAGCCCTTTAAACCGCTGGGCCGGGTCCAGGATATCTTCCCTATGAGAGGATGACTTACATGCTTGATACTCTAACAATTAGGGAATTGCTGAGACTTTTAACTGCCCGACACTTGCAGTGATGCCTGCTGTGAGCAGTGGGACATGAAGGCAGGTGAATTGCTGGGCTGATCTTGTGCTGTTGTCACTCAGTCTGTTGATAAGGGAGAGGGAGATGAGACAAGTGGGCTCCTTCTATACACTCGATTAGAAATTGAGCTGGAAAGCAAAATAAGCTGATAGTAGTGCGTCAGTGGGGCAGAGAATAGATGTGATTCAGTGGGCAGAATGACCCATAAAGACAGGAAACCTTCCCCTGTTTGCCATCCCAGCTGCAAGGCCTGCCCTGACTGCCAAGTTCTGGTAGGCTGCAGCAGGGTGACAGCAGGCCTCTGCTGAGTACAGTTCTGGTGCAGCAGTTTGCTTTGATATGTGTGGTTTT